GCGCAGGCGAGCGGGCGCGCGTGCGCCCACCGACCCGGAGCGGCGCCCCCCGAGCCCGCCGCCGCCGCGCCGGCAGGCGCGAGGAGTCGTCGCCGCGCGCTCGACTTCACCGCCGCATCACCGTCCGCTGAACGACGACCAGCCGCGAGCTTCCAGCGGCGCCCTCTCGCGGCACAGCGGAGAACCACAAACGCGCGTGGGCGGACGTCCGGGCCCCCGTGCGCTCGAGACACAGGCCGCGCGACGAGGCAAGGCGAAGTTCTCGCCCGGTCGGCGCCGTCGTTGGCGAGCCCGCCGGGTACGCCGCGGGACGACTCTCGCCCCCCCCAGGAGACGCCACCGCGCGACCGCCGGCTCGACCGAGCTCGTAGCAGAGCGAGGGGCAGCAGGGGCGCCTCACGTGGCGGCGGCGGCGCGGCGCGGAGCGCAGCGTGAGCTGCTGCGCTCGTCGTCAAGCAGCGCAAGGACAACGGAGACTCCGGCCGCTGCCGTCCGGCAGCGAGCGAAGCAGACAGATGCAGAAATCGTCGTCGGCGTCGGCGTCGGCGTCGGCCGCGTGCGTTGCCCGGCTGACGGCGACCGTCTCCTCGAGCGCGCAGCGGGCAGCCGCCGCCGCTCCGTCGCCGGAAGCACGCGCTCGCGATCCTCAGTCGACGACAAGACGGTGAGGCGAGGGAGAGCGGGCGGACGCGCGCCGCAGCCGACCCCCGCCGCGTCCCTTCAAGCATCGACGCGCCGCGCCACGTCCCGACTTCCTGACCGCGACATGACCGGCCGGCCGTCATGCTCCGTGAGCCCTGCGCGCAGGCGAAACCGCCTGCCGTCTGCCGCGGCGACCAAGCCGGCGCCCCTTGGCGGCTGGGAACTCGGGCTGCCGCGCGCGTTGCCGGGCGAAGCCGCCGGGGTCTTGCGAAATACCGTCTCCTCCTCCTCTTCCTCTTCCGTCCTCAGTCCTCGTCGCACAGGGACGACGACGGCGCGGGCAGCAGGGCGACGGGAAGCGCGACGACAGCGATCCGAGCCCGACGGTCTCGCCGCGCTCGCGAGCCTGAGCGCGCTCGCTGCCGCCGCGCGCGGCGCGCGCCGACCGACGCCGGCGGCTACCGTGCAGCGTCGGCAACGGTGCACCTGTTCCAAACCGTCGTGCACGTCGTACCTGGACAGCCTGCGCTGCACGCAGCCGTTTTCACTTCCGCGAGCTGCTCGGCCAGTGGACGCGCGCCGCGACGGACTGAGAGCGTGTGCGACAAGCAACAGCCGCGACAACGAGCGGCTGATGCGCGAGCTGCCAGAACGTCTCGTGCAGGACATGGTCAACGTCGTGCAGCGGTGAGTGATAGAGGGAGCTGTAGGGGAGGGATAGAGGGAGGCAGGGAGGAGGAGAGGAGGAGGGGGAGGAGGGGAGACAACGAGCGGCTGATGCGAGAGTGCAGAACCTCGTGCAGGACAGTCAACGTCGTGCAGCGGTGAGTGGATACGGGGATCTGTAGGGAGGGATAGAGGAGGAGGGAGAGGCGGAGAGAGGTGGGGGAGGGGAGACAACGAGCGGCTGAATGCTCGAGAGCTGTCAGAACGTGCGTGCGGACATTCGTCAACGTCGTGAGCGTGGAGTGTAGGAGGGAGCTGTAGGGGAGGTAGAGGGAGGCAGGAGGAGGAGGAGGAGGAGAGGTGAGAGGATGGGAGGAGGTGGAGGTAGGAGGGAGGAGGGGGAGCAACAGTCGCGACAGCGACGGCGGCTGATGCGCGAGCTGCAGAACGTCGTGGCAGAGCAGGTCAACGTCGTGCAGCGGGTGAGTTATAGAGGAGCTGTAGGGAGGGATAGAGGAGGCAGGGAGCGAGGTGAGGAGGGAGCGAGGAGGTGCGGAGCGGGGGGGGAGGGAGGAGCAGGGGAGACAACGAGCGCTGATGCGCGAGCTATTGACAGCCCTCTGCTGTATGAGTTTCATGCCTTGACTCGTCGCCGTGTTCGTAGGATCGTAGTTTATTTATTCCATGTTTTATCGCCAGTCACTCAGTAATGATTATTTATTCTCTTGCAGGTAATAGCAGTGCAGCTACGTGGCAGAGAACACGGTGGACCACCATCGATCACAGCTACGTCCTGACTGACGCTGCATCAAGACCAGCCCGTGGTCGGGGTGAGGTGCGCCACTGAAGCTGCGCAGCCGGTTGCCATGACAACCCAGGGGTGTTCCGGAGCTGCATTCCGTGGAATGGAGTGGCCGGGATGCTGACCTGCGTCGTGAGGAGGATGCTGCGCGTCCTTGAGGATGGTCGTATCGACACAGACCAGGCGTCCGAGCGCTATATGTGACAGTCTCATTGCTGCCGCTCCTGATTGCGATGCGCGATGTGCTAATGCGCTGTTGCTTGCTGCTGGCTACGGGATGGCTGCGCTGGCTGCTGCGCTGCTGCTGCTGCTGCTGCTCTTGCGTTGTAATGCGCGCGTCACTTCCTGACAAGCTACGGCGCTAGCAGATCTAATGATAGTGCGTGGTAGGCAAGCAAGCTACCCTGTGCAACAGCAGGTTCCTGTGAAAGTGAAGCTACCCTGTGCAACAGCAGGTTCCTGTGAAAGTGAAGCTACCCTGTGCAACAGCAGGTTCCTGTGAAAGTGAAGCTACCCTGTGCAACAGCATCTTCCCATGTAGGGAAAGCCTCCCTACAAGAGCAGGTTCCCATACGAGTGAGGCTACCTCGCAGGAACAGAGCAGCAACTAGTGCTGCCTGGCAAATGCAAGCAGCAGTGCAGACGCAATTTGTCATGCAAAGAGAGGCCCGCCTTTGCAAGGAAGGGTGGGCTGGCTATACCTTCCAAAGACGCCATCTATACACGTGCCTGCATGAAATCTTGTCGCCGCCCAGTTGGGACAAGAAGCGTGGGAAGCACATGCACAACTCTGCAGTTCACCGCGACGCAGCAACGACTACGCGCTAGCACACGCAAACCCGCTGCATCCACCGGGCTTCCCTTCGCTCCCATCGGTTCGGACGTGTGAAACGACACCGGCAGAGCGAGTCAGTATTATGGGATGTGATCGCGTGCAGGGGTAAATCGTCTGCCTGGAGACCCAGCATGCAGCGTTGAGCTTTTGTCTGTGCGCCATCGAAAATCGAACGAAGGCAGTCATGTGGGTGGTAAACGTCGTTGCGACGAAACTGTCGATTAAAAGGCTTGCTGGTTGTGTGACACCCTCTGGTGACAACTGTGTAGTCCACTCGTGTGCGTGACAGGAGCTTAGATTATATATAAACACACACACACACATATATATATATACATGGGTATATATATATTTATATATAATACCCACACGTCTTCACTGCTCCCGTACGCACGACTGTCATCGGAGCTGTTGCAACGGCGCACATACAGCGGTGGCGCCACCTGTTCTGTTGTTTTGTGTTGATCGAATTAATGTCAACCATACTCTACATCAAGCTTAGCGCCCCCTAGTCGAGACCATGACACTCTACATCAAGCTCGCGCCCCCTGGTGAGACCGCACCACGCTACATCAAGCTTGGCGCCCCCTGGTGAAACCGCACCACTCTACATCAAGCTTGGCGCCCCCTGGTGAAACCGCACCACTCTACATCAAGCTTGCCGCCCCCTGGTGAGACCGCACCATTCTAGATGAGCCACCACTCTCCGATTAAAGGAACTGCTAAGAGTAAAAGTATTTGTTCATTTACTAGTTTCTGCATCTCATGACACGCTGAAATTGGATATAATTGATATATTAATAATTAATATATTAATTAGGCTATGTATTATATATAAATTAATGTAACATGTTTATATGTATATAAATTAGTGATAATTAAAATATTGATATAATAATTGATTATATATTAATATAAATAAATAATGATTTTATACATTAGATTTGATTTCGACATTTCCATGGAGAATCACTGACGAGCCACCACTCTCCGATTAAAGGAACTGCTAAGAACAAAGGTAATTGTTTATTTACTAGTTTTCGTATCACAAAATTCCCTGAAATTGAATATAATTGACGTATCATTGATTATATATTAATATATATCGAGATATCGAGTTTTGTTTAATTCTATGAATATAATGAAGACTTTGAATATGGTAAATTTTGTTATCCACATTTTTCTATGCTGGTTACTGTAACGTTATAAGAACAGACGAGAATTGCCTCCGCTATTCAAGCCTGATTAAGTACAAATGCACTTATTTTATTTTATTGGACATCATATTTCGCCAATCATAAATCCAATAAATTTTCACGTTTCGTAAACGTTGCTGTTAAGCTTACATGTTTGATTAATTTGAAAATCATTCCAGTTATTATATCAAGTACTTAATCAATGTCATATGTTTCCTGAAAATCATTTGCCTTGATGTAGTGTGAGGACCTCTCTTACGCCCTGGTAGAGGAATGCCGCAGAAGAGGAGAAGCAGGAGCGGAGGAGGCAGAGGGAGCATGATGCACACCGATTCGCGTCGGGGGACTTCCGAGACAAACCATCGTAACTGATGGTTACAGTGTTTTATACTGATATTCCACGTGTTTTTAGAAAAAATTTGTTGTATTTTATACTAATCGTTTATTGTAAGTTCAATCCAATTGTATGAGCATGTGGTCTCGCGTTTTATGTGTACGACTGCGGCCAATTCTCATTTAATGCTCATTCAACTAGAACAACTAGCACTAGAACTAGAACACCTAGCTCTAGAACTAGAACAAATAGCAGTAGAACTAGAACAAGTAGCTATAGTACTAGAACAAGTAGCCCTGGAACTAGAACAACTAGCTCTATAGTAACTAGAGCAACTAGCACCCTGATTGTAATCCCATGCATGTGCGTTCACGATTGAAATGCTTTCAAATAAATATACTCCAAATAAAACGCCCGAAATTCCTCTTTATATATGGTGTTAATTATTCGAAGGCTATCAACAATACTTTTCTGAAAAATCATCAAAGAAATTGTAACATACACTGTTAAGAAGTTTGCAGTAGATCATGGGTTGTTGTTGAGGATTCGTTGTTGTCTGGCGGTGTTGACATTAACACTGACCTTGACCAAGACCTCGTCCAATGCCATGGCCTTGAGCTCAAGGTAATGGCCTTGACCTACTTTTTCATTTGTCAACGTTTTTTACAAGTAGGTCATGGCCTTGAGCTCAAGGCCATGGCCTTGACCCACTTTTTTAAGTTTTAAAAGTTTTACATTAGTAGGCCATGCGCGCATGTGTGTGTGTGCGTGCGCGCTGCGCTGGTACGTGCGTGTGTGTGCGCGTGTGTGTGTGTGCGTGTGTGTGCGCGCGTGTGTGTGCATGCACGCGTGTGCGTGCGTGTGTGTACGTCCGTGCCTGCGTGTGTGTGCGTGCGTGTGTGTGCGTGCGCTCACACGTGCGTGTGTGTGAGCGCGTGTGTGTATCTGTGCGCGCGCGTGTGCGTGCGTGTGCGCGTGTGTGTGCGTGCGCGTGTGCGAGCATCCGTGTTGTCTACAGTGGATACTAAATGCGCGTGTGATGTGTATTACCAAACTGCATGCAGCGCCCCCTTTCGCACACACAGGATATAGCACTATAGGATATAGGAGTAGATTGAGCCAATGAGCGAGAGCGCCATCTGTCGTGGAGTTTGGTGTATTACATGTAAAGAAGCCGCTTGGTCACATGACGTTCTCACGTGACCGCTGAAGCTGTGAATTTGTGTGTGTTGACGCTGGCGTGGCATTTCTCGAGCAGCCACTATCTGACAATGTTGTCTGTGATTTTATATTCACGCTTATTTCTGTTGCCCACACACGGAATTTGTGTGACAAATGATTTTGTAAGTATTAGTAGTATATAGTAGTAGTATGTGAAAGTTGTATCTATATTTTCCATTCCATTACATTAGTTTGTATTAGTATTAGTTTGGAACAGCACAATCCTGAAGTAGTAATATATTATATATGTGTATATGTATAGGTTCTAGAATAACCACCTGACTATTACCCCGTAGAATTACCCTCCCCTCACCGACCCCCCAGACAATCACCACCTGACTATTACCACCGTACAATTACCTTCCCCTCACCGACCCCCAGACAATCACCACCTGACTATTACCCCCGTACAATTACCCTCCCCTCACCGACCCCCAGACAATCACCACCTGACTATTACCCCCGTACAATTATCCTCCCCTCACCGACCCCCCCAGACAATCAATACCTGACTATTACCATGACTATACGACTAAAGTGGAAGAGGAGAAGCAGAAAAATGGCTGTGAGAGAATAAGGTGGAGGACCTTATAGGATTTATGCCTGCAGCATAACAATCGTCTTACTCCACACTGCGCTTATTGTGTGGTATTAGTACGAGGTCATATAGCCGACGCTCACGCACGCACGCACGCAGGCACACACACACACACACACACACACATGTGTATATATATATTTATATATAATACACACACGTTTCACAGGCTCCGTTACGCACGACTGTCATCGAGAGCTGTTTGTCACGGCGCACATACACGGTGGCGCCACCTGTTCTGTTGTTTTGTGTTGATCGAATTAATGTCAACATCGTGCGTCTTTTTACATTATAACGCTGTAAAAATTGCTGCTTTCTCCTTCAATTGATGTTGTTGTTATCTATACATTTTACACAACAAATTATGGCAATCACTATATCAGACCGTTAAACCTTTATGCATGTATGTATTTCTGTATAAATGTATGTATATATACATACATACAACATGCATTTTACATGCATACATTATTTACATGCATGCATGCACGAACATAACATACATTATACATACATTTCACATACGTACTTACATACATACATGGAGACATGCATACATGCATACATATACATATAGTGCATGCAATCGTTTATATCAATGCATAATCAGTATGATGTCTTTCAAGAATAGTGTTGTTATTTTCGGAGGCAGGTGCACATGCTTATGCCTCCTGATTATATGACTGCTCGAAAGAGCAGTTACTGTTGCCATGCCAACAGACGTATCCGTCAGATACTGCCGAAGAAATAGTCAGATCGACTATCGATTGATTTAGCGATATTCATAAATTAATAATCATTATGATTATTATTAATAATTGATAATTTATTATTAATGATAATTATAATCGAATGCTCGTGTAATGAATGCATGCTGAACCGTGTCTGTGTGCGGGCATGTGGCTGTGTGTTAGCTTGCCGGCATAGGTATGTACGTGTTATACATTTAGCGTGTATGGAAACTAGAGTTCTGTGAAGCAACGGTTTTTTGTTATGGTTGTGTTTGTTTCTCGAACGTTTACGGCCGTGAACGCCGTACGGTGAGTGTGTACGTACCGCGCTATCGTCAACGTGAGTGTGTGTGTGCACGCGCGCCAATATGTTATATTTCCAGCGCTTGTCTACATGCACCGCCAAACCATTTTTCTATATGTGTTTAAAGACATCGCTGGCTCGCTCACCCTCATTGGCAATGGTTCGTGAAGCTGAAAGTGTGTGAAGCTGAAAGTGTATAACGCTCTGCGTTTTACTAAGCTGTTGGCTTTGTCTGGTTAAGCACACTGTCGGGTTCGCAACAAATTAGCAACATTTAGTGGCGTTCGCAATGGACGCTGCTTGCTTAGCTGTTGCACTGACTAAGAATATAGATATATATAAGATATTCTGAGTCTGTGGCCATTGTCGTGTTGGCGGTGATGAGGGGTTTTGCTGCGTTGCTTGTTAGTTGGATGTGGATGTGTGTGCGTGTGTGTTCGTGCAGCGGTGACCGATGGCGGATGTACAGTTTCTAGCCCTGATTTTTGACGGTTTGATTTTTAATGTTGTTCTCGTCGTGTTAAGCTGGGTTTTGTATACGTTTAAAGCAAAATCTTGTGTTCTGTAATATAATGTAAATTATTATTAATAAACAGTTTTAAAGGTACGTACGACCTTTTCACGTGTTTCTTTTTTTAAACCAGCTCATGCAGTGTAATTAAGTAATCGAACATGATAAAATATAACGTATGGAATGACACAATCAACAGTAGTTTTACTGGATCTCTTTCCCAATCTCTCAAAAAAGCACCCACTTGCGCGCGTGTGTGCGTCCGTGTGCGCGTGTGTGTGCGTGTGCGTGTGCGTGCGCGCTGCGCTCGTACGTGCGTGTGTGTGAGCGCGTGTGTGAGCGCGTGTGTGTGTGTGTGCGCGTGTGTGCGTCCGTGTCTGAGTGTGTGTGCACGCGTGCGCGCTGCGCTCGTACGTGCGTGTGTGTGCGCGCATGTGTGTGCGCGCGTGTGTGTGTGCGTGTGTGCGTCCGTGCGTGCGCGCGTGCGTGCGTGCGTGTGTGTGCGCATGTGTGTGCGTGTGCGTGCTCGCTGCGCTGGTACGTGCGTGTGTTTGAGCGCGTGTGTGCGCGTGTGTGTACGTCCGTGCCTGCGTGTGTGTGCGCGCGTGTGTGCGTGCGTGTGTGTGCGTGCGCTCGCACGTGCGTGTGTGTGAGCGCGTGTGTGTATCAGTGCGCGCGCGTGTGTGTACGTGCGTGCGTGCGTGTGTGTGCACGCGTGTGTGTGCGAGCATCCGTGTTGTCTACAGTGGATACTAAATGCGCGTGTGATGTGTATTACATGTAAAGAAGCCGCTTGGTCACATGACGTTCTCACGTGACCGCTGAAGCTGTGAATTTGTGTGTGT